TCGGGTTTCGTGTCACTCCGGAGCTTCGGGATTGGCGAATGTCATGTGACTTCGGATATGTGTTTAAGTCTAATCATTAGTATTCTTCGGCCGGAAGTCTAAATCCTTGATTATTAAGAAATAAGTGTTTACAATGTCTTTTTAGTCATTAATAAAAGATGTTCCTCTCATCAAAATACTCATAGTCTCTTAAGATCGTTTGAGAGGTTGTCATCTGACTTTTCGAAGAAAATCAGGATTTTTGCTGGATGTCTATAGATTTGTTACAATGATGCAAATATTAAACTATAAAGTATTAAATTTTATTCAATTAAACATAAATATATAATTTCTATTCACAATATTTTTAGCCAATTTATTTCATTTAAATATACAGTAAAATTTCAAATCAATAAAATTCTCATAAATATTTGATTATTATTTTTTTAAATCACAAATATAATATATAAAATTTTGTCAAAATATATACAGTATAATTTGACAAAAATATATATATTTGACAAGATAAGATAATATAATTTAGTAATATATAGTATATTTAATAAAATAATATAATTTGTCAAAATAATTAAAGTAATATAATTTGGCAAAGTCAATATATATATATATTGTATATATTGACATACTGTATATAAATAAATAAAGAATTAATATTTATCTATAAAAAAAAATATTTAAAAAACTAAATTTTTATCTTTTTAATTATAATAATAATTACAATTTTAAAATTTATACTTTATAAACTTTTAATATTTCTTTAATTTATTTATTTATTTATTTATTTTTTATAGATAAATATCAATTCTTTATTTATTTGTATATTACAAGATATATATTTGTAAAGAATTAACATCTCTTAGGTGCAAAGCATACATATAACAAGTTTAATACTAGTCTATTTATTAAAACTATAAATAGCTAATACTGAAAAAAAAATTTTAAAACAATATTGTTATTAAATATAGGTTAAATAATAGCTATACTTATCTACATAGAAAAAAAATATTTGAGACATAAGGAGAATTTGAAAAAAAAGAAAAAGGAGAAAAATAAAAGTAACTAGAACTAAAACAAAATCAAATAAACTATAAAATCTATAAAAAAAAATTATATTTTCAAGAAAACTCTTGACCAGGCTCATTGTCTTGTTTCTCCAATTCTTTGCTACTTGTAAGCATAATCTTTGTTGACATGAATAATAAAATATATATGATTTGGTTTGTTATTGTAGTTGTAGTTGTTGTTATGTTGGTATAATTGATAGTTAGTGAGATGATTAGTTTACAAGTTAGTGGTGTGATTTTGCTTTGATTGTAGTTACCAAAATTGGTTTTGTTTAAACCAATAAAAAACAAATAATTTTAGTCAATAAAAAATTTAATTTAAACTATATAAATATATTTTCATATTATATCATAATTTAATATACTGAAGTTCTTTAAAAAATTACAATTTATGATAAAAAATTATGAAAAGAATATAATATATAACAATGTTTTATGAAGATTTTTATAATATAAATAAAGAAAGTAGATATTAAAAAACAAAAAATAAAAAATTTATATTTTTTTAATTTTAAAAAAAATTATTATAAAAAAAATTTAAGAAAAAAGTTATATTAGAACAAAAATAATCAAAATAGTTTTGATTTTAATTTTTTATTTATAATTCAATAATTAATAAAATTTTATAAATATATTTTTGAGAATATAAGATATAGCTAATGTTATTAAATATTAATTTTTTTAAAAAATAATAATTTTAGATTAATTAGAAAAAGTTATATTAAAAAATTATTAAAGTCAATTTGATATACAGATTTATTAAATAAAAACAAATTAAAATATAAAATAATTTTTATTTATTTTTTTTTTAATAAAAAATTTCTTATTTAAATAATTTTATCAAAATTTGATAAAAAAAAATAGAAATTTCATATCAAATTGTCAGTTTTGATTTTTTAAAAATTTTTAAAATTAATTTTACAAAATAAAAATTAAAATAATTTTATTAAACTTAATTGTATATTGTTAATGTTCTCAATATATATTTATATATAGATACATATATAAAAATTTGTAATAAAAATTTTTGCAATTAAAATTTTATTTTAAATTAAAATTATTAAATATCTCATTAATTATATTATTAAATAATTATTCATTGAATTATAATAAAAATATAATTTCAATTATTTTCATTCTATATTGTTATATTATTGTTTTTAAATTTGAATTTTTTTTAAAAAATAAAAATTTAATATAAAAAAAAAAACAGATCGATTATTATAATTTAAATTAAGTATTTTTTTTATAATGAAAAACATTATAAGCAATTAAAATATCATTATTTTTATCAAAGAATTTATATATATATAATGTATTGATTATCTTATGTTATATTATGATAAATAAACAATATAACAAGAATTTGTATAATAAAAATAAGTTACAATCTTGTTATTGTTTATTAAATTATAAGAATGTGAGATATTTTATATAAGTTTTAATTCCTGTATACAGTATACAACATATCTAATATAAGTTTTAATTACAGTATATAATATACGCTTTGTTATTATTATTAGCCATAAAATTGTATCTTATAAATAATTACTGTATATTATTGTTATAAAAAAGAATGATGATTAATATTTAATCCATATGAATAAAAAGAAAATGTTAGAAATCGCATCCTTTTAATTTGACATTGCATGCGTAAAACATTGTGATTTGAAATACGCGATTATTATCGTAAATAAAAAATTTGTCATCGTAAATTATCTGATAGAAAAAATAATAATAAAATTAAAAATTTTTTTTTTTTTTTTTTTAAAAAAAACTTTCGTATATCATTTCATTATAAAAGGTATTGTTTTATTGTTTTAAGAAGTTATTTTGAAAAAAAGATTGATATCAGATAAATACTGTTATTTAAAGTATCACTTGAAATTACAAGATATCGATTATGACTTCTTGTGTGAGGACAACAATGCAACAAGTGGAATGTCGAAAAAGAATATCGTAGAGTGGACAATTGTACATGAAGGAAAATCGATAGGGAGAAAGATTGCTGTAAGATAAATCAGATAAAAGGCTCATGACTTCATAATCCCTTATTGGTTATCGTAAAAATAAATAAATCTAACCTTCACTTGTAAACGATGCCTGATTAATTTACATTAATCATGACCATGATGTCATATACATACATACGGAAAATCTTTGGAAGAGGCGTAATACGGTGATCCTTTGGCAGAGTCAGAAGACGTGTGGCCATTATGTATGCAATGTCTCCTTTTTTTTTTTTACCAACTTACAGTATATATATTTCTTACTATAGAATTTTATTTCCGGATTATGGCGCTTGCAAATACCGAATACATTGTCTTAAATTCCTCGTATTGTCATATTTGTAAAAATCACCGAATAGGGCTGTTTGTACCAACTCTTCAAAGTCAAATGTAGCTGTGAAACAACAATGTACATTTTATTTTCAAATCAGAAAGTCCGAAAAAAAAAAATTTCATCATTTGACGGATAATTTGATTCATTACGTAATTACGGAAAATATTAACACTGTGTAAGAAACGAAAATGTTTTGCCATGTGTATATTATACAGTATACCGAACTTCGTTCAAAAAAACGAAATTCTCTAATTTACATGTGATTTGAGGAATCAAAAGTGTTAATATATAATTACAGCGTATAATGATCGATCAAAGGGTGTTTGTTCCTTTTGACGCACATGTGGCGATTTTTGATTTAATCGCCGACTCAAGATCAATATTAATTTTTGACCGATGTGCAGTGATAGTCTGTACAAGTAAAACATAACGTACGTACAATTTGGATTACATTGTATCAATGATCTCTATCCGAACGATCAAGAAAATTCGCCCCTTATTATTATACATACTGCATTTTATAATACCTCAATCTCGCATAATATGTACAGCACTATTTTTGCACTAAAATTGTGACGTTAACGAATATCCTTTTCTCCTTTTTCTATACAAAATTGGCTATGTGAATTTCTTTATCCGAACAATCTGTTGTCATTCAAAATTGATCAATGTTTTTTTTTGTATCATGCTTGGCAAATACACAAAAATTCTGATTGCCCGCACCGAAAATGTCTATCACATTCTTTTCATGATAACATGGAATCTCGCAAGTTATATATAAGTGCAAAGTTTTTTGCTTGATTCTTTTCCATTCATTCATTCATCCTATCTATTCCTATCGCTTTACAATTGGTAATGATATAGGTTTATCCCTACTTTCGTATGATACGTCTTTGACGATTGATTTAACGATGATTTCTCTTATTTTTTCACCAGTTGGCAATGTCAGAAAAACGTGACACCGAATTAGATTTTTCGGTTGAGGAGAAGGGGCAATTGCCTTTAAATTCAAACGAGCCTGATTGCATCGCAGAAGAAAAAAGAGATCAAAGGAATGTCGCCACTACATCCATACCACAATTGACTTTGGAAAGGACGCTTTCCATTAAATATCGCACCCTGTAAGTGATGAATTGGAAAATTTTCATTTTCAATTCATTCATTAATTATCATCATTTTGGCGCGCTAACGTTCTGCTCGATTCGACTTATTCTCACCTCCCTCCCTTCCAGATCCATCCAGACTTCAGACAGCATTCAAGCTAGAAAAAACAAGGCTCACATAAAGAAAGAAAAGAAGACTTCGGTTTCTCCCGATGGTAACATCCATTCCTGATTTGTCTAATGCGCGGCTTTTCTTCAATGCGAATTCTAAAAAATTCCTCATGAATATGTAGATGAAATCGCGCACCTTGACTATCACACCATTTCTGTTGACGAGATCTTGCAACGATTTGAAAGCAACGAGAACCTGGGTCTGGACTCTAGGACAGCTACTTACCGTCTTCAGCGCGACGGTAGAAATGTGATCACCCCTCCGAAAAACAACATTATTCTCAAGATCCTCAATTATTTGCTCGGCGGTTTCTGCAGCCTGCTTTGGTTCGCAGCCCTTATCTGTATATTGTCATACAAACCATTGGGTGAACCGAATCCAGCTCCGATAAACCTTGCGTTGGGAATCGTTCTGGTGAAGATCAATTTTTTTTCACCGAACGCAAAAAGTTCATCTAATTAATTTTACCTATCGCCCATAGATAATCGTGGTAATTATTCAGGCCGCATTTGGTGCCTACCAAGATTGGTCAACATCAAAGGTGATGAACTCGATTAAAAACATGCTGCCTGCCGAAGCACTCGTCATCCGTAACGGACAAGTCACAAAGATATTTGCAAGTGGTAATGTTACTTTCCACATGATAAAGATGGTCTACATGTTCGAAATGTGCTCAATCAAATATTCTCACAACTTTGTTAGATCTGGTCGTCGGGGACGTTGTTCAGATAAACATGGGCAATAAAGTTCCGGCTGATTTGCGTCTTGTGGAAGTGACCGGCGATATGAAATTTGACCGATCAATATTAACCGGAGAGAATGAACCAGTCAGTGCTACTGTGGAAGCCACAGACGAGAACTACCTTGAAACACACAACATTGCCTTGCTTGGCACTCACTGTACCAACGGAACCGGAAAGGCTGTTGTCATTGCGACCGGTAAATTGACTTTATTACTTCCTCAACTTCATCCGCTCCATCTTTCCTGACGACCGTTAATCTTTTTAGGTGACAAAACTGTGTTTGGCAAGATCGCAAGGTTATCATCTTCTACCGATTCGGAGACTACGATTCTTCAAAAAGAAATCATTCGTTTTGTGTCGACCATCGCAACGCTGTCTATTGGCACTGGATGTGTAATTATGATCCTGTAAGTATCGTTGCAAATATACAGTGCTTGTCGTATATCTTTACATTTACATTCATATTGATCGATATTTTTTTTAGGTGGGCTGCATGGTTGCGGACTACTTATCCAACTTTCTTAAGCATCTCCGGTATCCTGGTGAATGCTATTGCGGTAATTGTCGCATTTGTGCCGGAGGGGATGCCCGTGGCCGTCACGTTGTGCCTAACCTTGATTGCCAAGCGTTCTTTTCGTCAAAAAATTTTGTGCAAAACTCTGCCTGTTGTGGAGACTCTTGGATGTGTATCTGTGATATGCTCGGTAAGTAAAAAAGATTCTAGGTATCCGATTTCTTTTTGATCTTTCCACGATCGATATTTACTAATTTGCTTAACTGATGGCAGGACAAAACCGGTACGCTGACGGAAAACCGAATGTTTGTAAACAATGTAGGCCTTGTCTCCAAAGAGATGGAAATCCAAGAATGCAAGGATGCATTGAGAACCGATGGTCCAGAAAAAAAAGTTGTCCGAATTCTACAGCTAGCTTCCTGTTTATGCAATGCTGCAATGTTTGATCCCGCTTCAATGTCACTCCCGGTCAACGAAAGAGCCGTGAACGGGGATTCCACGGATACAGGCCTACTTCGTTTTGCCGAGGATCTGAGAGGTATGTGTCTGTAAAAGCATGCATTTCAAGCACCTTCGTATAATAATCATGAACCCTTCCCTACTACCCAAAGAATCTACCACGGCCGATCGCCTTGAGTTTAAAACCATCTATCAGGTCCCGTTTAATTCCAAAAATAAATTTGCAATCACGATTCACCGTTCCATCAACGAAAATGCCGACAATGACCTAGGAACATCCGAACTCATCTTATTTTGCAAAGGTGCACCCGAAATATTATTGGAAAAATGTACTTTCTATCTTCATCCGGATGGTAGCGAAAGGATGCTTGACCAGGAAAGCAAAAACTTGGTTGTGGCCATGCAAGATTCGTGGTCACGGAAGGGACGTCGTGTACTTCTATTGACCAAGAAGACCATTCCCTCACAAGTATTCCCGGGGAAGGCGGTTAATGACATTGAAATGACAGACTTGGCATTGTCCTTTAATAAAAATCTGTGTATTATCGGTTTGGTGGGAATTGTTGGTGAGCAAAAAAAAAAAAAACTCCCTTTTTCTCAAATATTCAAATTGCATCTAATACTATATCTTGTCGTATCTAGATCCTCCTCGCGCGGAAATTCCCGAGGTCGTAAGAAAGTGCCGTAAGGCAGGTGTTAGGGTTTTCATGGTCACAGGCGATTTTACTTTAACCGCGGAGGCAATAGCTCGACAATGTGGAATCCTCACCTCCAATAAAGTGGATAATATAAACGAAATCATTAAATTGGGCAGGGTTGAAGATAATGCACGCGATGGGGTATCCGTACGCAAACGAAATCTAGATTCGGAAGAGGATGACTATCAGATCAATATTAATTCACTTGTTCTAAATGGAAAAGACCTCTCCAGCGCGAAATTAAGAGACGAACATTGGGATATTATTGCGAATTATTCTGAAATTGTCTTTGCTAGGACGACTCCGGAACAAAAGTTGAAAATTGTGACCGAACTTCAAAAGCGGGATAATATCGTAGGGGTAACCGGCGATGGTGTGAATGACGCTCCAGCGTTGAAACAAGCGAATATAGGAATTGCCATGGGTTTGGGGTCCGACTTGGCCGTGGCAGCGGGAGATATGGTTCTGTTGGATAATAATTTTGCGTCCGTTGTCGTGGCTATGGAAAATGGTCGACTCGTCTTTGATAATCTGAAGAAAGTCATAGTTTATCTTTTACCAGCCGGATCCTGGTCTGAATTATGGCCTGTGTTGGTCAACGTCATTTTCGGGGCTCCACTTCCATTATCATCTTTCCTCATGATTGTCGTCTGTTGCATGTACGTATGTGCGTGTTTTCTTTGTCACGAAAATCAAATCCTTAACGTTATATTTTCTAAAAAAAAGAACCGATATTTTCCCGTCACTTTCCCTGACGCACGAGAAGGCGGAATCAGACATTATGTCACGAAAACCGCGTAAAGCATCCAGGGAACATCTTGTAAATTTCAAACTACTTCTTCATGCTTATGGATTTGTGGGCATAATGGAGATGATTTTTGCACACACCATGTTCTTCCTGTATTTATACAAATACGGAGGGATAAGAATAAGCGACACCATGTTTGGTAAGCGGAGTAGATATGCTTGCTTTTCACGTATCCTCGCAATTTATTAATCACAACTGCTATGCACAGTATATGATCGCTGGAAAGATGGATACCTGGGAAAATCAATGGATGAACTTAACGAGCTTAACGTACGTAACATGTCGCATCTAAATCTTGTTGATTATTCAACGACCTAACCAATTTCTTCTTCAATCTAGTACGTGGGTCAAAGTGTATACTTTATCACGTTGGTAATAATGCAATTTGGGAACCTCCTAGCGAGCCGAACGCGTCGTCGATCGATACTCCAAGCGAATCCATTTTATGGACCAAAAAGAAATCTATATCTATTCGGTGCCATGACTATTTCTTTAATGACCGCTTTGATTATACTTTACGTACCATTCTTCAATAATGTTTTCTATACAAGGTAAACATTTTACTTGACATTTTTCATTCTACGCACATGTATTAACGATCAGGAATGATTTTGATTGTAGACCCATACCGGCAGAATTCTATTTCATCCCTCTCGGATTTGCCGCGGTTATTTTGACGATGGACGAGATAAGAAAATTGACCGTGAGAACCTATCCAAAGTCAATATTTGGCATGCTAGCTTGGTGATGGGGAAACTTTGTAAAAAATGGAGGATTTTTTCATTATTATCGTCATTGTATTATACATCATATACTGTAACTGTAAAAATCAAATCAAATATAAATTATCATTTGTAAAATTTAATTCTATTGTCTTTGTTAGATTTAATTACTGTATATGGTGACCTTGGTCCGTGCATTCTTTAGGTCAAAATACAGTATAATAAATAAACAAATAAATAAAAATTATTTATAAATTAGAATCTCAAGAAATATGTTCTAACATATGCTAAGGCATTCAAGAATTATAAAGAAATCTTATACGTGTGTATTTTAATAATATTATTATTTTAAAAAATTTTAAAGATAAATTACATGCGAATTTATCTTTTCTTGTTATCAATTAATTAATGTAATGTAACGTATATACAGTATGTACAGTATATTTATTTATTCACTAAAAAATATCCGTTAAAAAAATAAAAATATATACAGTATAATACTGTATCTTTCATAACATTGATTTATAATATGGATATATTATATACTAGCGCGTTAGCCCGGGCTATGCTCCGGGATTAAAAATGCTAGTATATTTTATATATTAAAATAGATAAAAAATAAATTATAATATTGTATTGACAGAAAGCAGTTTTTTTTTATATAAATAAATATAATAATTTATAAAGTAATAGTATTAGTTGTATTAAATTAATTAAAGAATTTAATATTAAAATAATTTATTTATTTATTTCAATAAAAATTAATATTTTAATTAAAAAAACAAAACTTTTTAAAAATTTAAAACCTAAAAAATATTTAAATTATTTTATAAAAATAAAAAATAGATACAAATTGTTTTTAAAATAATAATAATAATAATTAAAAAATGTTTAAATTTTATTTAAATGTTATAAAATAAAATTTAAATTTCAAATTTTTTAAATCTTGAAAAAAAAAATCTAAAAAAAAAGAAAAAAATCAAGTTTTTTTAAATTTATTTATTTTATTAATTTTTAATATTAATATATATTGTATGTTTTAATTTAATAAAATTAAAATTTTTTAATTTTTTATTTTTATTAATATAATATAACAAATTATTACAAATTATTTCATTATTATAATATAAAAAATTATTAAAGTAAAATACTATAAATTTAATTATTTGTAAAATATTTCTCTATATACAATGTTTTTGGTATATATTCCTTCTTTTCCATCAACATGTCCATTTTTCACCAAAATTTTAATATTATTTTTTGATTGAACTCTAGATAAGGCTACATATAATTGTCCATGAGTAAAAACAGGTTTGGGTAAATATAATCCCATATTTGTAATTGTTTGACCTTGAGCTTTGTTTATAGTCATTGCAAAAGATAATTTGAT